AAGATTCACTAACAACTTCTAAATATTGTTATAATCTGCTGAGAGGATAACCCTTAAAACTCATCAGAACATAAAGCACTTTTCAGAACTGTTAAGAAGCTGTTTTACATTTTGCCTCAGCTTGGTACTATATGAGTAATTTGTAGCACAAATCTGTGGGTAAAATAGGAAGGTTTGAACTGCTCCTTCTCCTTGTCAGTGGCCAAACTCTCTGAAACAGAAACTTCCCCTGACACCATCTGGCCCCCCACTGGACACAGAACCCCCAGACCTTAGGAACTCACAAGATTGCCTCCAATCCTGCACATACCTATTTAAGAATTTATTTTTCTTCAGACCAAGAAAGGACAAACTCACAAGGCATAACCAAAATCTAAGTCCAGGCTTGCTTAGACAGGACATCTGCTTTAGCTGTCAAGCATTCATAGCTATGTGGATGTGGGTGGAAAAAATGATAATTTCCCCTTTCCCATCCAACTCTTAAGAAGCAATTCAAAACAGTCTTGATACAATTTGTAACCAGAAAAGAAAAGAGAGGTCAAGTCAATAAGTATTTATTATTTATTTTTTTCTTGTTGTGTTCGTCCTTTATTCTCAAAGAGGACCAATGACCTCCGGAAGATGACATCTTGACTTGCAAGTGACTTGGATTTAAGTAAAGCAGAACTCTGCAAAGTCATCAGCCTCAATCTCTCCTCCAGAGTCATTAGAGTTCAGTGGCAAGATATAAGTCAGGATGACTGGCAGTGGCCCCATTTATTATATTAGGGGCATTAAGTGCTGGGGTTACAAAGAAAGGAGAAAGAAAAATCAATCTTTCCTCTCAAGGAATTAACTACCTAATCAGGGAGACAGCATGCAAACAATGATGAATGGACAAGATATATCTCAGAGGGAAGGCAATACCACGATGGAATATCAGGAAAGTCTTTTTGCAAGAAGTGCAAAGAAGTTAGTTGAGACTTGAAGGAAGCCTGGGAAGCCAGGAGGCTCATATGAGGGGGAAAAGCATTCCAGGCATGGGGAAAAGACAGTGAAAATGCAATCAGGAAATGGAATCACGGAACAACAAGAAGGTCAGTGTCAAAGGACCCTAGAGTATGTAAGGGTAGTATGATAGAAGAGGCCTGGAAATGTAGGAAGGGTCCAGGTTTTGAAGGGCTTTTCAAAGCAAAATGGAGGATTTGTAATAGTTCCAAGTGGTGATAGGGAGCCACCAGAATTTATTGGGTAGGGGAAAATGATATAAGATAGCCAGACCTGCACTTTAGGAAGATTGCTTCGGCAGCTGAGTAGAAGCTGGAGTAAAGAGTCTGGAGGCAGGAGAACAACCAGAAGTCTATTATACAATAGTCCAGGTATCAGATGATGAGGCTATGCACTAGGGTCGTGACAGTGTCTGTTTGGGTCTCTCATTTCCAAAATAGCACTCATAACAGAGTTACTACAGGTAGTTTCATAAATTTGCCATAAGCAATCAACCCAAAATGCTGGGGATGTTCCTTGCTTTTTTTTTTTTCTATCATAAGGATAACAATGAAATATATGGTCTGTCCACCAGGTAGTGTCTAATTGCACCATATTGCCAGTCCATCTTCTTTTTCACTAATAAATTTATTTGATGACTTCTTTTACTGTGGATTCACTGTTTACAGTGTACCTCCCCATTAAAAGAACTCCAACTCGAACTATTTAAACAAATTTTGATTCCAAAAAATTGAGAACCAGATAAAGTAAAGGACTCAGGTTCACTCCTCCATCACTTAGGGACTTTGTGACTTATTGCTCCTAGGCCAGTCCTACTCCTCAGCAGGTGTTCCTTCCACTGGACTCTCCTGTAGTCCAACTTTCTGCCTCATCAGTTTGCTGTCAGCCTTTCTACTCTCTGGGCTCCTCTAGTTTTATGTATTCAGCCCAGGTTTCATTCAGGCACTCCTCCTCCAAATGCTTACTTCATACATATGTAGAACCTAAGGATCAACCCTCGCTTGCAAAGTATATTCCCAAGACAAAACTACCCAGGTTTAAGGTACTCATTGGGTTTATAGCCACTCAAATCTGTAGCTCACAATCATCCACTAATGTGTTTACTTATTGAGCATAGGACACAATTTTAAACAGAAGCATTTAATGAAATAGAATAGTAATGAAAATAGAAATAAAAAATTTTCCCCATAAACCTGGAGTAAATTCTTGCATCTGTAGGAACAATGGATACATAGTAATCATAATTATAATGATTATTATGATGATGATAGCTAGTATTTATCTAGTTTGATCATAAAGGGAACAAGTTAGAGACACTGAACTCATGTAGTTCCTACTTTATGTAGGAATACACACATAGGTGACACATTTTCTCAGGTTACTCATATAAAGGAACACACATGTGACTATAAAATATGAATGGAGGAGCAACCCATGCCTCTAATGTAAGGATAACAATGTGTTCCAATCATGTCTCCTCAATGATCCTGCCCAACTTGGTCCCTGATGATCTTATATGGCATGTAGTCAGTCTTTTCCAGGTGTGTACTCTCTGCTCAGCACAGTCTATGTGATCTCTATCGTTTAATGCTCCCGATTGGTATTATATGACTGCTATTCATCATTGCTCCTGTGGTCCTGTGGTAACTGCTAGGTGTTGTAGAAATCTCTGCTTGTAGTTTCTGGATTCAGCTATCATATTCTGCTAGGGTATTGTTTTCCTCATAAGAGGATGAGTGGATTTTGCCATGGCTTTTCCGGTGGCTTTTTTCTTTTTCTGTTTTCCCAGCTACAATTCTTTTAGAAAGGAAAAGTCCTAACACATCCAGTCATTGAATTGAGTAGAAAATAATTCTTTCTAGGGAAAATCCTTTTCCGGATTTGTAAGACTGATTTGTAAGTTCTATACACTTATCAGAAGGGGGTGAGAATTCTAGTAAAAAAAACTATGTGTATCTAATTGATATCATATTTCTCGCCTTCTTAAGGGATGGGAGAGGGATGGGAAGGAGAGGGAGAATTTGTAACTCAAATTTTTAAAAACTGAATGTTAAAAAAATTTTTACATGTACTTGGAAAATAAGTAAGAATATAGACATAAAAAAGAAAAAAAAGTTATTTTAGGGGGAAGACTGTGGAGTCAGAAAATTTTTCTTAAGACTAATGTAACCCTTGTGACAGAGGCTTTACTATAACAAGAAAAACCTGGATATACATTGGGTCCTCAAAAAAATCTCAGCTCATCTGTCCTCATTCGGGTGTAATTCCCTGGTACTCCCAAAAGGGAATTTGTGGAGGTGACACAACAGCTCACACATCTCACTAATGTAACTCATTTGCTTCTACCCAGTTGGCCAACCCTTCCCAAGACCTGCCTTAGAAAGGGGTTCCCACAGAGGGAAAAGGCTCAGGTTCACTCCTCCATCACTTAGGGACTTTGTGACTTACTGCTCCTAGGCCAGTCCTACTCCTCTGCAGTTGTTCCTTCCACTGAACTCTCCTGTAGTCCAGCTTTCTGCGTCATCGGTTTGCTGTCAGCCTTTCTACTCTCTGGGCTCCTCTAGTTATATATTCAGTCCAGATTTCATTCAGGCACTCCTCCTGCAGATGCTTACTACTGTGGCTCCTTCTTTCAATGGTTCCACCTTCTAGTTATTTATTCCTGGACTCCTGATTGTTCACAAGCTTTTTTATTATGTCCTACCTTTCCAAATTTCTTACACTTGACTCCTTGCTATTATCCAGCAACACCGGCCCATCATTCCTTCAATACAATGCTCCATCTCCCTTCCCTATACATTTATACCAGCTGTGCCCCATGCCTGGAATGCTCTCCCTCCTCACAGATCCTCTTATTTGCCTCCACTTCCTTCAAGATTCTCTAATCTCACCTTCTGCAGGGGGCCTTTCCCTCCGGAGATCATCTCTCATATGCTCTGTACATAACTTGTATAAGCCTAGTTATATTCATTACATCTGTCTCCCTCATTAGAAAATAAATTCTTTGAGGGCAGTCTATTTTTGCCTTTCCCTCTTTGTGTTCCTAGCCCACTATCTGACATGTAATAAGCTTTTAATAAATGCCTATTAACAATTATTATCAGTATGGCTTTGCTGCTTCTGCTTCCCTTTATCGTCCAGGGACTTGTGAGGGCGCTTGAGGGTTTATTTTTTCAGAAGGGTCAGAAAGCTCGACATTCTTGTTAATAAAAACAATAGCAAGCACTTATGCACCATGTTAAGGTATTCCAAGCGTTTTACAAATATTGTCTCATTTGATCCTCACAACAACCCTGGGAAGCAGGTGCTGTTTTTAGTCCCATGTTCCAGATGAGGAAACTGAGGCAGAAACAGGGTAAGTGACTTGCTCAGGGTCACAAAGTCTTTTTTAGTGTCTGAGCTCAAATGTGCGCCCAGGTCTTCAGTTGACTCCAAGTCCAGCACTCTGTTCACTGCTCTACCTAGCTTACTCTAGCTCCTCCCTCACGTCAGGAGAAAACTACTGCCAGGAAGGTTACAGTAGCAGTCGGCTGCCAAAGGAAATTCTCTGATCTCTCCCTCACTCAGTCTCCCGACCTTCTGTTTCTGGTCCCAGATCAGACAAGGGCAGAAGAGGTCCGCCGGAAGTTGGGACTGGACTCTTTGAAAAGGGCCGGGCGGGGAAAGAAGGCGGGGCAGAAAGCGTCTCCTGACTGGCGGAGAGTTCCGACCGCGTTACTTAGTATCCCTCTCCTTGCCGCTCCCCTCCAGCCCCGCCCCCCACTCCACTGAGAAAAGCAAAATAACCGAGTTCACAGCTCAAAGCTAACACAAGCAGAGCTGAGAAGCCACCCCTTGGGTCGCAATGGCGGGGAGAAGATATTGCTATGAAATCAGTTAGAGACGTTGGAAAACAAGCACCCGGAAAATATGGAAAGGGTGATTCTGGGAATTGTAGTTCTAAGGCTTCCTGTGCCTAACCACACCCCCATCCCCAGGGGGCCGAGCACGAGGAGGATGCGCGCGCAGTTTCGTAGGTCCCAAGGATGCTTCGCTCCTGGACCCGCTCTGTTTTCAGTCAAACTTGGATCCTATACACAGGCATCGGGTAAGTACAGCTCGGGGCGTCTGACCCTAGCTCTCTGCGGGCCCCATCATTCCAGCCAGGTCGGGATCAGCGAGAAGCTGGAGTACACCCGCCGCGGGGAGCTGGGCTTGTGGGCTTTGCCCCAGGAGCTCACAGAGCGTCAGCCAAGACCTTGGTGGGCGGGCCGGGAGGGGGAGGGGCCGAAAGTCCTGGTGGAGTGAGTTTATTGTCGGGCGGGCTCACCCTCTACGTTCCCCTCCCGCTCCCCATCTCCCTGTTGTTCGCCCCAGGGTCTGGGATGTGAATAGGCACCCCCATCCCCTTTCAGAGGAAGGCAATGTTGCGGGGAGGGGCTTTCGAGGAAGGTTGCAGATGGTATAGAAATAGAACTGGGCTCCGGATTCAGGACCTAGGGCAGGGACTGTGTTTGGTTTCTTTGTATGCCCTGAACTTCGCGTGCTGCCTGGCTTCAGTAAGCGTGATTGGCCGATTGAACTGAGAAAGTCTCTGTGTTTCTCTTTACCTCCGTATGTTTGTGCATTGGTCACGAAGGGGGTAAGCTGGCTCTCCAAAAAACTTTCTAAGTTTAATCTGCATTGTTAATATTTTCTCCATCCATTTCCTACAAATAACAAAACAACAGATAACAAAACAGCAAATTAGATCCTGATTTTGTAGCATTTGCTGATTCCAGAGGCATAAATACTTACACTAAAATTTTAACAAAGCTTCTATGTGGCAGGCCTTGTGCTGGGCTCTGGGATACAAAGAAAAGAAAAAAAAACGCCCAGGCCTGCTTTCAAGGAGCTCAAAGTCTAAAGGGTTGTAAATTAGACTACTATAGTTTTATATGCTACTCTTGTGGACCATTTATGTGTCCAGTACCTCTCCACAATTTTTGCATGGCTCTGGAGTCAGGCTGTATCGTTGAGACTATTGGGTTCCTCCTGCTCACAATGATCAATCTCCACCCACAATGATCAATCTCCACCCACAGTGCCCCTTAGAAGAACTTGAAGCTGCTTAACCCAAGTGAAGGGGATTGGCTCCCTGCTGGAAATTCGGATTTGAAATTCATGGGGAGAATCTCCTATAAAAACCACTAAACAAGGTGATGGCTACTGTCTTAAGCCCTCAACTCATGACTCTACATGAACAAGACTGGATCCTGAAAATTAATGTACCTTGGAGGGAAGATACAATCTTAGGAAGAGATAAATCAGCCCCTGAAGCTGCTCGACAGAGTTTTAGGTGGTATCAATACTCAGAATCCGCTGGACCCCAAGAAGCCCTCATGCAACTCAGAGAACTCTGCTTTCAGTGGCTAAGGCCAGAGATTCACACAAAGGAAGAAATCCTGGAGCTGCTGGTGTTAGAACAATTTCTAACCATCCTTCCTGGAGATATCAGGATTTGGGTAAAGTCTCAGCATCCCACAGATAGCAAAGAGGTAGTGAATCTGCTGGAGGACTTGATCCAAGCAGCTGAGGAGAGAGGTGAGAATTACAGAAAGATGATGGGAATGGAGGTAAGAGGATGAAATAGGCACTTGAAATTAGGAATCCATGACATAAATAGGAAAAAAGTTTCCGGGAATTTGGAATTCCAGTGTGGGATCAAGGGATCATGTTATCAAGTCCATTGTTTCCTTCAAGGTTCACTGTGGGTAGTAGTATGTGGTATTTTGCCATATGGGTAAGACCATTATCAATTGAGACTCCTTTTTTGAGTACTGGGTTTTTGATTTTGCTTTCTTTTTGGAGGGTATAAGGTGGGATAAAGTAGGGGAAGTAGAAGGAATAGCCAAACTATCAAATTATTCTATTTCTGAAGTAGATTCATGCCATCTCTCCATAAAGAAGTGACTGAAATTTAGACTTGAGAATAATGTGTTACATATTTAAGGTAAGAGGTGTAGTGTAGTGGGAAACATACTGAGTTATGATCAGAAATTTAGGCCTGAGTCCAAGCTTTGACCCTTTTTAGAAGTGTGATCTTGAGTGAGTAACTTTACTTTAGGCCCCAGTTTGCTTATCTGCAAAGTGAGGGGGTTAGACCAGATTGCCTTTGGCATCACTTTTAACTCTTAATCTCTATTATCTGTAATCTTTTCTATAGTTTATTCTCAGCCAAATTAGGATTAGAAATCTAGTCTTCTGACTCCTACCATCTTCTCTTTTCACTAAAGGATAGTGAAAGTTATAATATATAGTTATAATAGTTATATGTATATATATATATATATATATAACTATATATAATATATAGTTATAATAGTGAAGTTAAGATCATCTAGATATTTGTAGATACTGCTTTCTCTATGAGAGTTACAAATTATTTCCTTACATGTCAAATAAGATAAGGCTCCTGTCTTTTCATAGTTCAAAGGGATCTTAGAAGTCACCTAACATGTTAGCTGAACAGGAATCTGGATGCTGTATGACCCTGGGCAAGTCACTTAACCTTTTTCTATCTCAGTTTCCCCAACTGTAAAATGAGACTAATAATAGTATCTATCTCACATGGTTGTTGTGAGGATCAAATGATATAATATTTGCCGAGCTCTCAGCATAGTGCCTTGCACATAGTAGGTGCTTAAATACTAATTCCATCCCCCTACTATAAAAACCTTTCATTGAAAACTTCCAGTGAGAGTGCCTCCTGGGGCAGATCATTCTACCTTGGACAGGTCTCTGATCATTAGGAAGTTTTCTTTTAAATCAAACCTAAATCTACCTTGCCACAATTTCTACTGCTTTCCTTTTAGACCAATGGAATGTAGGGTTACCATCACTTTTAAGAATATATTCTAGAGTTTAGTCAGGGAAAGACATCAAGCTCAGTGAAATAGAAATGATAGGAACTTTAGGAGGAAGTGAATACTCCATATTAGAATTTGTAATAGAGCAAGAAGAAAGCTAAGTTTCTGATAATATCAAAGATTTTGGAAAATTAGCTTTCGAGGAGTTCAGAAAGGACAGATAGGATCCTAGGGATGGGCCCAAAGGTCTACAGGGAAGTTGACCCAAGAAGGGTGGATAGCTTTCAAGGATAAAATTGTTATATTACTAAGGTAAGTTATTCTGATGAAGAAGAAAAAGGGAAACTGTCTACAAAGATTATAGATGCATAGAGAACCCATCAACCAACTTAGAGTGTTAAAAAAAAACACATCAAGAAGATGGAAGGAAGTGCAGGTTATGGAGGATGGAAACAAAAGGTCACTGTCCTGCAAGAATAGTGTCAGGAATGCTTAAAGATCAGTTTGTTCTGGGACTTTCAGTGAATGCTAAGGACAGCTCAAGGGGCTTTTTAAAATATTGGGGCAAGGGAAACATCAAAGAAATGGTGGAACCAGTGTTCAAGTTAGATGGGGTAACAATAATGGATGCTGGGACAGGATGAAACTATTTAATTCTTATTTTGCTAATTTTCTCTATCAAGGAGAATGATCTTCAGACTGAGAGGAATAGAACAAAGATGGTCAACAAGTTAAAACTGAAGATTAATAGAAGAGATGATAGGAGAACACCTAGATACTCTCAGTGAGTTCAGTTCATTTGAGCTAAATGTCTCTATCTTTGCACACCTAAAAGAACTGGCTGGTGTGATTGCTTAGCTCCTTTTAATAGTCTTTGAAAAACCATGGAGAATTGGAGAGGTCCAGAGGACTAAAAAGAGGCTGATGTGATGATTCACTAAAAAGAGAAGGTGGGGGCCTGCAAACTAGAGGCTGGCAAGTTTGACTTCAATTCCTGGCATACTAGAATGGATTATTAAAAGGTTGATTTGTGAACATTCACAAAGGGAGTGGTGATCATATGTTTGTTTGTTTTTGTTTGTTTTTTTTTTTGGTTTGTTTGTTTTTTATCAAGGCTAGATGTTTTTAGACTAACCTCGTTTCCTTTTTTAACAGGGTTACTAGACTGGTAGATGAGGATAATGCTGTAGACATATTGCTAGAATTCAACAAAGTATTTGACATAGTCTTTCATTTAATCTTTTAGAAAATATGGTAATACGTGGACTTGATGATGGTGTAGGTAGAGAAATTTGGAACTGTTTGAATGATGAGACCTAAAAAAGTAGCCATTGATGGGTCAATGTTAGGTTGGTGAGAGTTCTCCAGTAGACTCTGTTGTTCTTGTTGCTATGCTATTTAAAATGTTAATCTGTGACTCTTCTAAAAAACAAAATGGCATACTTATCAAATTCACAGATGACATGAGGCTGAGGGAAGAAATAAGTAATTTAGATCCCATGTTCAGAATTTCAAAAGATGTTTACACATTGGCATTGTTGGCTTAACCTAAAAAGATTAAATTTAATGGAGGTTAATGTAAAATTGTATACTTCGGTTTTAAAAAGTCACTTGCAAATGTGCCAGACAGGAAACATGGAGCTAGATAGTACTTAATGTCATGAAAAACTTGTTATTTTCATGGATTGAAAGTGCAGTTATGAGTCAACAATGTGTCAATGTGGCCAAGAACTAGGCCAATGTACCAAGAACTAGGGAGATAAGAATTCTACAGTGTATTATTAATTGTTTAATAGTATTAGTCTCATTTTCCCAGTGACACTATTAACCTCTTTGACCAAAAGATATTTCTCTTATGCCCCTCTGACGTGTCTGAAGTACTTAGCACATAAGAGGACAGGATGATTTAATGAATAAATATGTGAATTTGAGATGAGAGAAAGGAGAAAAGCACTCAACAAGTGGAATTGTTTCTTTTGAAGTCCATCATCATCAGAATGGCCCTGTCTCGTCTTCTGAGTTGCAAGATGATGGGAGGAAATGAGTCCACACCCTAAAAACAAAGATGGTATTTCAGAAAAAAGGAACTATCGGCACACCTGGCCACATCTCCTCAGTCTACATCTGCAGAATTGTGTTGTCCTCTGGCTGCCACATTTTAGCAAGGACTTTTGACAAGTGATAAGATATACCCAGAGCAAGGTTATTATTATGGTGAAAGAGACTGAGGACTATATCTATAAATATGGGTGAAAGGAATTTGGCATATTAGAAAGACTATGGTCAAAGACACGAAAACTGCCTTTAATTATTTGAAGAGCTCCTCTTGGAAGAAAGATTTGAAAAAAAGAATCAAAGTACATATGGGAAAAAGGCAAAATATATTTACCTGATATATGTAGTGATGACTGTTACATACGTATAATGTGGAAATTTGGGAGAAATCCCATTATTTCAATGGATAATATTTGAGGTATATGTAGAGAGTGCTGTTCCTCAGAATCTTTTGTGACTTTATGTATGAAGTCAAGACTCTGAGCAGCAATGTCCATGATCTCCTTTGTTGTCCTGGGAAGGGACTGGGTTACTTCATTTTTCCTGACTTTCCTCTCTGTAGGGAGTGTGTATGTCTATGTGTGCATGCTTGTGCACAGAGTTTGCATGTGCGTGCATGTGTGTGTATGCATGCATGTATTGTGCATACGCGTGCATATGCATGTGCTGGGCAGTCAACCAAGTAGTATGTGGGAATATATAGCTTGGTCTACCTGGGAATTGCAGGGTAAAATCAGTTTTCCTCATATTTCCTTTTCACTCCTCAGCTATTAACCCTCAGGACTCTAGCCTTCTTCAGGTAGATGCAGGAGAAGAAGAGATGATGGCTCCTGAACTCCTGACTTTGAGATCCCAGGTGTGTTGATATTTCCTTTTTTGTGAAATACCATTTTTGGTTTTAGGGTGTGGACTCATTTCCTCCCATTATCTTGCAACCCGGAACACAAGATAGGGCCATTCTGATGATGTTGGACTTCAAAAGAAATGATCCCCACTTGTCTAGTGCCTTTCTTCTTTTTCCCATATTTATTCATTAAGTCAACCTGTCCTCTTATGTGCTGGGTACTGTAAAAGATGCCAGAGGGGCATAAGAGAAATATCTTTTGGTTAAAGAGGCTAACAGTGTCACTGGGAAAATGAGACTAATATTATTAAACAATTAATAATATACTTAATCTTTTTAAGTTGCCAAAACTAGTTAGTTTAAAAAAAAAAAAAACCAAAAAGTAAGTTAAAGAAGGGAAAGACTAGATTGGGCAGGAGGGATATAGGACAGTAATTCTGCAACTTTATGAAGTGGTAGAGTCCTTTAAATAAAATTCAGCAGAAACTTTGTAGTAAAATATTTTAAAGTGATTTTAAAATTCTTACTGCTAATGGAATCTGATTATAAGAATTTTATAAGATTATAAGAGCACCAGTCAACAAACTCCCTCCAATGCTCCCCTCCAAAAGTATTTATGTAGAGTACCACAAAATCAGGCATATGGCAAATTTGTAATAGAACTCTTTTGAAACACTCAGAAGCCTAAAAGCTCCCAGAAATACTTAGATGTCCTGGTCAAATCCCCCACCTGTTCTCCCTTCTCCAGAACCATTTAAGGGGGAGGGTTTTGTGTGAACCAGAATGTGTTTGACATTTCGGGAGTCTGTGACATTCAAGGATGTGGCTGTGGATTTCACCCAGGAAGAGTGGGGGCAGTTGGAGTTAGATCAGAAGGACCTATACCTGGCTGTCATGCTGGAGAACTACAGGAACCTAGTTTTTCTGGGTAAGGATAGCTTCATCTTTTGACTCAGGATCTTCTCCTTGTAATGTCTTCATATCTTTTCTTACAACATATGAGGTGATTAACTAAAAGTTAGCAAAACTTGCAGCACACAGAGAAAATGTCTAATCCTTTTACAACCAAGAGAAAGGCTATATCTCCTTGTTTCCAGATGAAAAGCTTTGTTTAACATAACTGCAAATTAGCAGATTCATTCATTATGCTGTTTCCTAGGCTTCATCTAAGATATCATCCTCCAGGGTGATATCTCCCAAGTGTAAGTCCTAGAGCAAATTCCTACAAGTATTAGAAGCAGCTTCCATCTTCTTATCGGGAAAAGGGACAGATGAATTCACATGAACTCTATGACTCATTCCTCTACACTCTTTTGGAATGTTTTATAGAACTTTCCTACTTCAAGATCCCTTTGAACCATCTCCCAGGCTCTCCTTTTGGGTCCTGTCTTCAGGAGTTTGTAACTAGAAGTTGTATGCAGAAATGTTTTTTTTGTCCTCATGCCAAACAGTCATTTTTGCTTTTTTTTCCCACATGAGCAGGGCTTCCAGTTTCCAAACCAGAATTAATTTCCCATATGGATCAAGGGGAAGAGCCAGGAATCCTGGAGAGAGAAGTCTCAAAAGGTACTTGTTCAGGTGAATAAGTAAATGAGTGAAACCATGCGGAGGGCAGTCATTGCAAGTGAAAAGTCAGATAGTCCAGTTAGATTTTGAGCCCGAAGGTCTTCTCAAGATCTCTCAGTCCTGGGGGAAGAGGGTGAAATATAACCTTAGTAGCACACCTGTCCTCATGCATTCTCCAAGCTGAAATATATTCCTTTTCTTTAACCCTTGTACCTTTACTCTGAATCCTGTCCCTTGCCCTTTCCTATGCTTTTAGACATTTTATAGATTTAGAGTTAGGCAGGATATCAGAAGTCATCTAGTTCATACTTTTTACCCATGTTATTATTATCCATTCCTAGTTATATTGCCTTCTGGTCTGGGATTATGGTATGAATAATTTATTTTTTTTAACTTAAGACTTTTTAATGGCATATTAGGGTCACTCACTACAGCATTTAGAATGAGACCGTTCTGAGTTAAAGGAGTTTAAAAAGTGAGAAGACTTGATCAGTTTCTTCAACTCATTTCAATTCCTTTGGAGGTCTCTCCAAATGGTGATTATATGATAACCCAGTGTCCACTAGGGAAGAGAAAAAATAAGAACCACAAATACAAATTATGTATTAAAGGGTATACTATATACCCAGCAGAGTTGAGAGTGTGATACTCTGGGCTTCTGAATCTGTGTCCAGATTGGGGCAATGGTGTGGCCATTCTCAAGACTAGGACAGCTCCCTAATTCAAACCAGAAAACCTCAAAAAAGACAGACAAGGGCATTATTACATAATGCTAAAAGGAACTTTAAATAACCAATATATAGTGATCTTTACATTATGAGCACCAAACAGTTTCAGTAGTTAATTTCATAAAAGAAAGTTTGATAACACTAACAGCATAAATAACAGCCGTATGGCATCCTCTAAAGATGGTTTCCCAACTTTCTCTTTTGTATAACAGAAGTCCCATCTGTGACATTAATAGACATCAATCACCTCCTTTTCAGGGGTTTCGGGATGGTTATTGATGTGGAACGTGTTACTGCTGTCTCCTCTCCCAGATCTATGTTTTGGGATTTTTGAGCACAGTAATTGATTGAGGGTAATGAGACTATGCAATTAGAATGTTTCTCTCTTTCCTCAAGATTAGATATCAAAGGGAGTAAACTCTTTGAGAGTAGGGATAGTATCATTTTTTGTATTGGTGTTGCCAGTACCTAGCAGGCACTTAATAAATGCTCATTGATTCATATGATGTCAGGTGCTATGAGGCCATATGAGTCCAGATAGTTATTTATGCAGTTATTAGTGGGAAAAGATGAGGAGAACTCAGCTTGTTTTAAAGGTAAAAGGAAAAAACAACACAGGATACTAGCCAGTCGGTATAGCCATGAATCTACCAGGGAGTTCTGTATCATAAATTGTCTGGGTAGTGGTGAGAGAATGGCCCTGGGTAATTCTCTCAAGTGAGAGATCAAAGGTCCTTTGAGAGAGGTGCTTTAGGCTTTTCCCTTGAATTACAAATGCAAAAACTGTTTCCAATTCCAAGGAGGGGAGGGACTTGCAATATTTAAATCCTAAAAAGCCTTAAATGTTAATAAAATGTTTGTATACATGTATATATCATATGGCAAGCAATATTAATTCATTAATATTCTCTAGAGTTAAAAAAAAGTTAATACTTGTAGTTACAAAATTCTGAAAATCTAGAAAGGTCATAGAAACCAAAGCCAGACACTACAAAATATATTACAGCAGTCACAGTTTAACAGACTCTACAACAATGGCCAAATATGTAATCATTTTTATGCTAGTTCCCTGTACATTCCATAATTGTTCCAGTTAGTTTTCTCTAATAGCTAAGCTGTTATTTCCAATTTTTTAAATAAGTAATTCAGAGATGTAATTGCTTGTTAATTTTTTTGGTGATATTTTGATAATGGCAAACTGAAGTTTCTTCCTATTACTAGATATTTGGCTATTTATGCTTATTGTGTTATTAACCTTCCTTTTATGAAGTTAATAAAGTTATGAAGTTAAGAAGCTTTGTTTGGTGCTTATAACTTAAAGCTTATTATTATTATTTAAAGTTCCTTTTAGCATTATGTAATAATGCCCTGGTCTGTCTGTCTTAAAGTTTTCTGGTTTGAATTATTTGTTTCCTCTGTTGTCATTACTGCTATTCCTGTTTAAAAAAAAAACAAAAAACCTTACACGTGCATGAAATATTTTAAACCTACCACTTAAGTTTAAAACCATATGTGTGTATAACACATTAAATGGATTTCCTGTAGGAAGAATACGGGTTTTTAAATCCGTTCCTAAAATCTATTCTTTTTCTCAGCAAAACTCAGACTATTTACATTTAGTGCATTAAATTAAATTTTCTGTGTTCTCTGGTTTCCCTTTCCCTCTTTCATATTGAATTTTCTCCCCTTAGGTCAAGTTGTTCTTCAACTTTTCCTCAAGGTCTCCTAAATTTCTTCTTCTCATATTTAATCTCTGGTCTTCTTCACAAGTCCAAAGTCTTCCAAACTACCTGCACAATTTTCTTTTCTTTCTTCATCTCAATTCCTCCTTTCTTCTCCTGTTCCTGATGCCACAACTTTTTAGCACAAAAGTTGAAAGGAGAAAAATAATGAGAAATGGTGACTTATTAGAAAAAAATTCTGGATTAAGGATCTGAAAACCCAGGATCTATTTGCGATTCAACCATTTATTAACTACATGTCCATAAACAAGTCTTTTAATGCATTTTGGCACTTATTTTTCTTATTAGTAAAAGTCCCTATTGCACAGGTCTGTTGTGAGATTAAAATGAAATCCTGAATGTAAAAGTGCTGTATAAACTAAGAATTCTGCAAATGCAGGGGAGTAGTCATTATTATTTGTTTTTTCTTTACCCTTTCCATATTGAAGAGAATTCTCCTTGATTAAAAGATAGAGTATAGAACTTACCACATAACAGTACTTTTTCTTAGTACAAAGGGACACAAGATTTTTACAATTTTTATTTCTTTCAGATTGTAACACTGGACCTGAAAGCAAAGGGTCAATTTCTAATCCAGCCATTTCTGTCGAAGAATCATTTTTGGAAAGACTTACAATGGTTGGTCTTAAGGATTCCCAAGGACAAGATTGGAAATCTAATGTCAAGAAAGAGAAGCAGCAGCATAATTGGGAGAGACAATCTGAGGAAGTAACAGTCCCCGGAAGAAAAACTTCTGATATATTAAGAGACCATGGATGCAATAAGCTTGAGAGAAGTTATAACCTGGGGTCAATTCCTGTTTCACAAAGAACAGATTCTATAGAAAAGAGACTCCATAAACATGATACACCTGATATAGTTTGCAGTGAGTTTTCAGACGTGCTTAAATGTAATACAGTCTCCTCAGGAAAGAAACCTTGCAAGAGTAATGAATGTGAGGAAACATCTAGTCATTGCTCCAATTTAATGCAGTGTCATGGTTTACATAATGAAGAAAAAGTGTACAAATATAATGAATCTGGGAAGGCCTGTGATGAAAGCATACACATTACTCAACATCTGGAAATTTATGCTGAAGAGAAACACTATAAATGTAATGAATGTGGCAAAGCCTTTAGCCGGAGTACATTCCTTACTCAACATCAAAGTATTCATACTGGGGAGAAACACTATAAGTGTAGTGAATGCAGCAAAGCCTTCAGTCAGAGAACACACCTTGTTCAGCATCAGAGAATCCACACTGGAGAGAGACCCTATGAATGTAATGATTGTGGAAAAGCCTTCAGCCAGAGATCCCACCTTGTTCAGCATTGGAGAAACCACACTGGAGAAAAACCTTATGATTGTAAGGAATGTGGGAAAGCTTTTAGGGACAGTTCATCTCTTATTCGACATCAGATCATTCATACTGGAGAAAAAACATATGAATGCCTTGAATGTGGAAAGGCTTTCAGTCACAGTTCAATCCTTACTCAGCATCAGAGAATTCATACTGGAGAAAAGCCCTATGAGTGTAAAACATGTGGAAAAGCCTTTAGTCATAGTTCATCCCTTAGTCACCATCAGAGGATCCACACTGGAGAGAAACCTTTTGAGTGCAATGAATGTGGAAAAGCCTTCAATGACAGCTCATCTTTTATTAAACATCAGAGAATTCATACTGGAGAGAAACGCTATAAATGTAGTGAATGTGGAAAAGCCTTTAGCCAGAGCACACATGTTATTCAGCATCAAAGAATCCATACTGGAGAGAAACCCTATGAATGTAATCAGTGTGGAAAAGCCTTCAGTGAAAACTCATCACTTACTCGACATCAGATAATACATTCTGGAGAAAAACCACATGAATGCAATGAATGTGGAAAAACTTTCTGGCACAGCTCATCTCTTAATCAACATCAGAGAATCCATACTGGAGAGAAACCCTATGAGTGTAGTACATGTCAGAAAACATTCAGTTGCAGATCATCACTTTGTAAACATAAGAGACTTCATATTGGGGAGAAGTTATGTAAATGAAATACATGTGATAAACTGTTAAGAAGAGTTTATCCTTAAACACCTGAGAATTTGTAGTGAAATGGAAGTTTACAAATGTTGGTCACTATATGTACGTATTTTTAAAAGCTACTTCATTACTTTAATGATCTGCACTTTCATCAGTATGTCCCAATTATCAATACAGATCATGACTCCTTTACACCTAAGTAGACAGTATGGCTGTGGGTCTTACTGTGTTTTATGGTCTGACAGGGCAAGTCTCACCTTTACCAATCATCCTTTTTCCAAAAAAAGTATCTCTTCATATTTTTGCCAACATATTTTTTCATATACATTTGTCCTTTTATCTAATTCTATAAAAGGACCCTGTGGTACTTTAGTTGGTATTGTGTCAAATCTAATAGTAAATCTAAATCATTTAACAACTGAATATTGACCCTTTTACTGTATTCATCAGATCCCTGTTGGGAAGTGTTCCTTCTATATTTACTTATTTTAATTTGGCTATAATGTTTTGTAATTTTTCAAAAATATTGTGTTTGTCTTAGTGAGTTACTACCCAAATATTTGATTTTTTGCCCTTAATGTAAATTGTTTTTTCTTTTAAATTGGTTTATTATTTTTATTACCAGTATAAAAGAATATAGTTGTTTTTGGCAGGTTTAGCTTCTATCTTGATTTCCTTACTGACCTCATCTCAATTTTTGTTGAGAATTTGAATTGTCTATAGAGAAAGGTATTTTAATCTTTTCATTACTAACATTTATCCCTTTCATTTCTTATTCTTATTGTAATTTCAAGCACTTCTAAAACCATGTCAAATAGAAGTGGTAAAAGAAAAAACTCTTGTTTTACCTTTTTTTTTTTTCAGTGAGAAAACTTTTATTTCTCTGTTACACTTTTGGTTTTTAGTAGATGTCATAATCATGTTAACAAAAATCCCATTTGTTCCTATTCTGTGTCACAGATGGGTGCTATATTTTAACAGAAGATTTTTTTGTATTAGATTGTAGTTGTGGGGCCTTATGTGTAAAGTAATATTTAAGCATAAATACTTGAGAGTAAGAGCTAAGACTCTATAGGCAGAAATGAAGGAAAAGTACTGCTGGAATAATAATAAAAGTGACAGTGATGTTCACTGGTATCAAAAAGGGTATGGGAGAGAAGTCATTTCACTCTCAGTTGAGCACAGTGAAAAGTAATAATGCCCCATATAAAAACTAGTACAATAGATAGGCTTGACACAACTCCCTGCCCCCCCCCCCAAAAAAAAAGACTGTAGTATTTATGTGATAGGGTTATTGTCAGGAACAATTGAAATTATTTAAAGCACTTTGTAAATGATAAAGTGTTCTATAAACAAGCTATTATTTAAAATGTTAAATTTTGAATAAAATTTTTGTGAAAACATTTTCTTTGTAAACCAACCTTATGTTAATTCATATTAGTTGTATTATAAGTCATTTAAGGCTTCCACTTAAGTCTTATTTTATGGGATGGTCAGTAATTAAATGTTTGCTAAGCACCTATTATATGCCAGGCACTGTACTAAGTTGTAGTTAAGTTCTAGTTGGGTTCTAATGCCTCAGAAATTTTGAGAACCACTGATGAAGGCCATTTCAGACCCCACTAGTGTGATTCTTCATATAGTTGCCGGGCCTAAAGGTGTCCTTCACATTGAGACTGAGGAGAAAACTCTGTAGTGCCTGGAGTAATCCACCCTTTTAACTGGCTTCCTGACTCCATTTCTCAACTTCATAGTTCCTCTCTTTCATATTGTATACAAATCTAGAGGATATTCATGGGATTTAACTATCTCATTCCCAGCAAACTTCCTTCCCCACCCAAATAATGCCTGCAAGGGCAGAATTCTTAGGAATAATGAGTACTTTCTTGGACCCAACCCATCTCTCCTTTGGTAGCTACACAGTCTGAGTATTAGTTCTCTTATCACCCCCTCCCCCCAGATCTTTTGGGACATGGAGAGTAACTGTAGGTCATTGCTTTGATTTCTAGAATTTCTTCTACCTACCTTTTTTTCCTCCCTACTCTTACCCTTCTTAATACCTTCTTTTCCCATTATCTGTGGGCTGTGTTGGAGAAGTCTAATTTGTGGATGATGTAAGGAAAATTGTCTGCTTTATTTTTTGAAACCCCTTTAAGTTTCTTCATGGCTTAGAAAATGAGACAAAATTTGTATGAATAGGTTGCAGTTTGGTCCATACATGTCAAGATATCTTGATAATGATCATGTGATTCTCAGAGTCCAGTTCTATGAGCAAGAATTCACCTTTAGGTGAAAAATTCCCAGGCAAGGCCCATGCCTTCTATGTCTCCCACAGCACAAATCACAGGACTGGGTATAAAGTTAACAACCGCTTTTCAGGATCCTTGTATGGATATCCAATCATGCACTCATTTTAATGAAGGAAAGTGGGATATCTCTCTTTAGAAATGTTTTTGAAGTTTTCTGCCTTTTCTTTCTCAATTCCTATTTCCCCCAAACCACTTTCTAGTCCATGGTGCAGTATTTTTTGGTTAGAACTGGATGCACAATTTTACTGGAACCATAAAAGCAAGGTACTTGAGGTAGAACTGAGGAATGTTGCTTCTATGGTAGATGAGATTCTGCATTGTAACTTTTTCTGAGTGTTGCTATCCAACTTTAGAAAGTTGTATAGCACTTGGACACAAGGATATATCAGAGTAACAGTATTGGAAGACAAAATGGGAGTCTAGAAAATATGGCCTTCCCCTTAGTGCTCACTATGGTGCCCACTAAAAATTTATGTCCTCTAAATCAGTTGAGTTCTTACCCAAGCTAGGCAACTCTTATTCCTCCCTAATTGATTATTTCCCTTCCCCACTTTGGTAGTTTTAAACCTATTCCCTCAAGCCTCTCACACCATCCCTTCCACCCACTCTGCCTCAAGTCATACTCTACAGAAAAAAGCAAAGACAAAAATGGAGACCACTCACTGGGAGCTTCCTCTTCTCTGCTAAATTTCAAAGCCCCTTGGCAATAGTAATCCCTCCACTCAGTTCTCTAATCCCTAATGAAGAGGTATCACCAAGGCCAACCCTGTTACTTGCCCTCTTGATGCTGTCCCCTCCCATCTTCACCAGAAGATTTCCTCTAAAATTATCCATCTCTCTAATTTTTCATTTTTCCCAATCTACTTCCTGTGTTGTCTACAAGACACTTGAGTCTTCCCATCTTTAAAAAAATTTTTTTTAAAATCCTTCACAAGACCTTAGGATTTCCTCCAGCTATCATCTTATATTTTTCCTCACTTTCGCAGTAAAACATGGAAAAGCTATTTACATTCAATGCTCTACTTTCTTTCTCCAAAGTTATCAATAATATCTTAATTTCCAAAATCTGATTTTACATTTCTTATTCTTGACCCCTCTATAGCACTGGACACGTGAAAATCCTTTGCTCCTAGATACTCTTGGCTTTCTAGGCTTTGATCACCCTGTTCTCTAAAGGTGCACCTCCTAGGTGAGCATTCCTGTCTCTACTAGTTCATCACATTAGAGGTAATGTAGTTGGATAGAGCACTAGTCCTTGAGTCAGGAGGACCTGAATTCAAATCCGACCTTAGACACTTGACACTTACTAGCTATGTGACCCTAGGCAAGTCACTTAACCCCATTGCCTAGCCCCCCCCCAAAAAAAGTCATTTAATCCTGTTTGCTTCAGTTTCCTCATCTGTAAAATGAGCTGGAGAAAGCAATGGCAAACCACTCCAGTATCTTTGCCAAGAAAACCCCAAATGATGTCACAAAGAGTCAGACATGATTGAAATGACTCAATGCCAAAAAGATACCAAAAGGGCTTCATAGTTGATCCTGGAGTTCAGGCCCTCTTAACCTTTAACCCAGACTATGGTAATAGCTTCATAATCATCTCTTTTGCTCCAGGTCTCTCTCCACATCAATCTATCCTTCATACAGCTGCTAAACTGATTTTCCTAGAGTGCAGGTAGAACTCTGTCACTCCCCTGTTGGACAAACTCCAGTCCAGTTTCTATTGTCTGGATCAATTCTAAACTCCTTTTTGGCATTTAAAGCCCTTCACAATCTGGTCCCAACCTACCTTTCCAGGCTTCTTACATTTTATTCTCCTTCCTGCACCCAAGGGTCTGGCCAAATAGGGCTCCATACATAACACTTAATCTCTGTCCTGTGCCTGACTGTCCCTCATGCTTATAATGTACTCTTTCCTCACCTTCACCTCTTAGAATTTCTTGTTTGGTTTAAAATTCAGTTGAAATACTATCTTCTACATGAATCCTTTCTTCATCTCCCAACTATATTGCCTTCCCACCCCCACAAAATTGGGCTCTCACTACAGCAAGGCAATTCTACCATTCCCTCCCAATTGATTACCTTTATCACTCATCACAGCAACTCTTCCAATTCTTTTCTCTCATTAAACTTCCTTCCTCCAACTCTCTTTGATGAGGACTTCAATTCATGCTTCATAAATAAATTGAAACCATTTGCTGAGAACTCTCTCTTCTCTTCTCCCCATCTCACATGCTTCTGACATCATGCCATACTATTTTCTCCATCACTCCAGCCTCTGATCATATGTTGGCCCTACTTCTGGCAAAGACTAAGTACTCTACACAGACCTTTGATCCCATCCATTCCTGTCTTCTGTAGTAATTTCCCTCACCTTTCTCTAAGCTTCAATCTCCCAAACCAAATCTCCTAATCCTTTCTTTGCTGCCTATAAACATATAGATATGCCACATCCTTAAATAACAACAAACAAAACACCCACTAGATTCTACCAAGCCCATCAGCTGTCATCTTCTATCTCTTCTTTTCTCAACTAAACTCCTTGACAAAATTTTCACTTCCTCTCTTCTCACTCTCTTCTGTATTCACTGCAATCTAGCCTCTAATTTCATCATTTAACTAAAATTCTTTCTCCAAAGTCACCATTGATTTCTTAATGGTTAAATCTAATGGCCTGTCCTTTGATTTTTCA